TATATGTTGTGACGTGATCTAGGACGGGAAACAACAAAAGCAAAACTATGAATTGGAATAATAGTTATTTTAATTTACACGATGGTAGTAATAATGGTTGACTTTCTTCTTTCTCTTCTATTCGTTATTCATCAGTCCTGATTTGCAAGAACCCCTGCCAAAGATGACGAACAATCCGCTGTATCACGGAGCGTGAGTAAAAACTTGAAGTTTACTGAAATAACATTAAATTGAATGTCTGACCGACCGACAGATCTCAATGGACCCCGTAACTGACCTACTTAGTCACGGAAAAGAGTGAGTGAGCGAGTGAGTGAGTGAGGGAGGGAATGAGTGAATGAGTGAGTTACTGACTGACTGTCCTATGTTTCTTTGATCATTCATTTCAGTTTCATTAATTATTTTTCTTGTTCTAAAGGTCTGGATTTGATGCTGACTTTGATGAATACGAAAGGTATGTTACTATTACTAATATTCCGAGGTTGAGGGAAACACTGGGTCGAGTTGGTATTGCAGTGCATTTTGGGGCTTTTGTAACAGACATATTTCCAAGATGGCGTCTATTTCGTCCTCTAAAACAGTCCCACAATGCACTGCAATGCCAACTCGACCCAGTTTTTCCCTAAACCTCGGAATGTATACTAAATAATGAGTTGAATCACTTGGACGACTAATAGCAGCATGATTCATACTATTGCTTCGTTATCGTTGTTTTAGTGTTGATCCACCCACAGAGAGACCCCCAGTACCACCGAGAACACTCGCTCCTTCAGTCTACGACAGGTTGGTTTAAAAATGCTGTAGTAATCGCTGCGAAAAGAACTTGATGTGTGACATCTCGCGATGATAGGCAATGTGCACGAGCACGGATCTTTAGAACAAAGCATGATGGGAAGCCGAGTAATCATTGAGTACTTACTAATGCCATACATTATAGGAGTTGCTTAGAATACTCTTTTTCGGTTTTCATTTTAGTCCATCACAAGGAAAAGATTTTCAATCAAGCAAGACATCTATCTCAAATCCAAACTATGACAAGACAGTCATAGATATACCGGTGAGAGAATGATCGTTTCATTATGATTTTTTTTCCCTGCGCGCTCTACAGCTTGTGCAACATTATTAATATGTAAATAGGGTGAATCTTCTCCTGGGGATGAACTCTTGTTTTCTTTTTCTCCTCGAAAGACTAGCGTCCTGTTTAGCCGCTGTGAGGCACTTCCGGGCTACGCAAGACTTGTCCTTATGCAGCATGTGAACGACATTGTCAGCATTTTTTTGGTGTGTGTGACGCCTTTTCATTCTCAGTCCCACTCGGCCAATTTAGTATTAACACAGGTAGCCCACTAGGAAAAAACAGATTAAAGGAACAAAAGAAATGCCTACTGCGTTGCGTTTCAAACCATAGTCTGTAGACGTGTTTACCTGTTATGCATCTCTATAATTTGTATTTTAATATTTTCCTTTAGGAATCTGAGAAGTAAAYACAGACTCCCACCTGATCATGAGAAGGATCATGTGTCGTGCACAACTGATAAAACAAGACTTTAAGTATCAAAGAGTCGCTTTAATAYATSGGTTWCTGGTATARACCCCTTGCAGTACTTTGGAATGCAGCTCAATCTGGGGCAAAAAATAGTTTCTAATAAGCCTGAAGCGAGATGACGTTTTACCCCCGTCTCTAGACCATAATCCTTTTCATATTGTTTTTGTTCTTTAATTATGACTATTTTTCCTGTATTCTCTAAGGAATCTAAAATTTTAATATGAAAGAATTTTAAAAACTATTATGGTATAGAGTCGGGGGTAAAACGTCATCTTGCTTCAGGCTTATTCTCAGGAGATTGGAATTCTTTAGTTTTCCCWAGATCAAGCTGCTTTGACGTCACATGCAAGAAGTCTAATCTGTTCGTATCCTGCCAAATGCAATTCTTTTAACCAAACTCTACTCATTAGCCAAATCGTGAGTAGGGTCTAGGTACGAAAATGGCCGAATGCCAAATATCAAATATCTACCTGAACGCCACCGCATTTTGATATTGATATTTTCTAACACTGGCGACTTATATTGACTTGAGATCCAATATGGCGTAACGACATCATGACTTTTTCGTTCATAGCGTTAGAAATTTAACATGATTATCTTTAGATATAGAAATCGTAATGATGGATCAAAGAAAATGCTTTGGTTTGACGTATTTTAGTATTCTTGCTTTATGCTATGAATTTTATGATCCTTATTTCTTATTTTAAGCAACATTTTTATTGATGTTTTGGAGTCTTTTCTTTCACAAAATGTCACACTACCGTTCACTTGCCATATGTGCTGTAGTTATTCACCTCTATACTGTGTGCTCTGCAAATCAGAACATATTGTGGAGGTGGTCAAACCTATTTTATTTCTTTATGTAGTGCCGGGTTAAGTCCCCTCTCGCTTATGGCTCTATTCTCGACTTTCACATTCCCATAATCCTTTGCGTCTTTAGGGGTAACCAGAGGGTAGAAACCCAATTATTTTGCTGAAGGCTGATCAGACAATGTTGAAAATACCTTGTTTGGTATCCAAAACTCTTCATGATCTGTACACTCAAAAATAACTTGGAATAAACTGATAATCAGTATTGTACAGATAAAAGCAGGTATATTATGAATTCAATTAAGAAACCTTTCAATTTGGGACAGTTTTTTGATTGGTTACCCCCCACCAAAACGCAAGGCATTATGGGATGTGAAAGTCGATGATTAGCCATTCCGAGGTTAAGGGGAAAACTGCGTCGAGTTGGCATTCCAGTGCATTTTGGGGCTGTTTTAGGGAACGAAGTAGACGCCACCTTGGAAATGTCTCCTAAAACAGTCCCAAAATGCACTGCAATGCCAACTCGACCCAGTTTTCCTCTCAACCCCGAAATGACTGATAATGAATCATGTGACAGCAGATTTGATACCATCCCTTAGAGTACAGTTTTGCTGGGTCTCACTTGACGTCATTTCTTGCCTTGTGCAGAATGTTCATCAATCAATGCTCATCAATGAATCGCAAGTCCTTTCTGACATGGGCGGTCAGTCTTTGGCTACCATTTTGACCATGCGATTCAAAGACTTTTATTGATGGTCTTCAACCATTCCCAAGAGAATTGAATAACAAAGGACACGGCGGCCATGTTGGAGTATATAACAAAAGAATTCATTGACAATTCTTTTGTTAAGTTCCTCCAACATGGCCGCTGTGAAAACCATCAATAAGCCGATTGAAACCCAGCAATTGAAAATATTATTTTTATATACTTAGCGTTCATCTATTCGAGATAAATTATAAGATATAGTTGAATACATTACAGATGATAACC